TAGCAATAGGTCGCAGAAGAGTCCGTAGCCTTAGAACAGAAAGGATCACTCGCGGGTAAACCGGACGGAGGCCAGCAACGATTGCATTGTATGTGTTTCGGCAGTCTGAGATGGACCGGACAGTGGCAAGGCAATACGATGGCGTAGTAAAGGCAAAGCCAGCGATCAGCAATTATGCTGTGAATCGGCTTCGTCCTGTCTGAATCACAGTGCCTGCGAAGGGTTCATAGTTGGTTGGATAGAGAAAAATGCTTCAAGATCCATCGTGGAAAAGTCAAAATCCCATCCCATATCCGACAGATTGAAATCCGGAAGATCCTCGCTGCTCCCAACACTAGCAGAGGCCTCCGGGATATCGCTTTGAAGCGGGTTGACTTGAATGTTTGGCATTGTGGGAAGGTACCCTCCCACAAAGGTGTCGCCAGGGAAAGCTTCTCGCAGATTTGTCTGGCTCGATGCTACACCACTAGAATAGGGGTGAGCTGATGCCGGGCCCATAGGGTTTGGCGCATATGCCTGACCCTGAACAGGTCCAGGTGGCACCCATTCATAAGACGGGTGCAGTTTCTTCAGGACAGTTTGTATAGCTGAAATAGAGCTTGTTATGGGATCGCCCGGCCGCATGGCTCCAAGACATTGAATGCCCACGTGAACCCATGGAAGGTGTGTGGGAGCAGCTTTCTCGTTATACATGAAGTCGTAAATAAGTGCAAAGCAGGCGCTGGTCAGGAAGAAGCCATGATAGCGAAGTTCCTAACGACTGTTTAGCCCCAATGTGTGTAGAAATCCGGTGTATTGCACAAGGGGAAAGCATACCCGAACAAACTCATTGACGATAGCAGCCTCACATAGATGATGGAGAGTTTTGCACGCAGCGTGGACCGCGTGGTCGCACGCGTCATTTAGCCACGCCGGCATTTCCGTCGGGCGTTTGGTGTTGAGTCCAGTCTCGGAAGAAGAGTTTTTGATATCGCGCCGCCACCGCCCGCGAAAGATCAAGAACGGTCGAAATGTCAATAGAATCGTGTGATAGTACACTATCTTTCTTAGCTTGTCCGTCCATTACTCTGTATATCAGTGACTTACAGGTTATGAGAATGGCCTGCCGGACTCCGACTTCACCAGGCTGGGGGCATTTGTCAAGCCCAAACCCGAGAGCAAGCTTCATCTTCTCGTCGTAACAACGAAGGTCTTCTGCGATGGATTTGGCCAGCTTCCACATTTGCAGCAATGAGTCGTGTGGCCGGCCGTAAATTTCGTTTGCTGAACGAGCCATGACATTCGTAAGGTGAATGAGAATGAGAATGAATGGATCCTTGGGAGGTGCAATGCCAACGTCCCTGGACGAGAGCGAGCTTGGGCGACCGAGATGAAAGCAAATCCAGCTGGCGAGCCGTCAGCAGGGCGACCTTACAAAGGCAGAATTAGTGACCAAGGACGAACGTCTCGTAGAAAAACAAGGACCAAAATGTCAATCGTCTTTGCTCCACTATCTCCCTACCCTCTCCTCCTTCAGTCGGAGATTCCTTGTGCAATCCAGCTGAGATGGCCTTCCTCGCAGCTGTGCCCAGGTAGAGAAAGGAAGAATTTGGGCGCCCTTGCTCCGTTTGAAAATGGGCGTACTAGCCAAGCGTCAGGCATAAACTTACACCGCCAAGGACAGAATATACTTATCATCGTCAAGGACAGCTGTACAGTCTCGAGATTCACCACGTCGTCCAAGGAGTGACAAGACGCCTTGACCCGATCGAACAGGATGTCTCCCCAGCGATAATGCTGTGTACCCAGGGATCCCATGGCCAAAGCCATCAATAAGATGGAGTTGACACAGGTGTCAGAGTCGGTACGAGAGGCGGGAAGATACAAGTGTTCTAGCTGGCGCTCATAAAGCTCTTTAGACCAGAATGGTACCAGATGATACAGCGTTGATAAAAATCGGTGCAAAAAAATTCTGGCGAGTTCATAGGGCAAGAACATCACCGGTGCAGCTGTGGTACCAATCCCCTTATTGGGATCATGCGTCTCGTCTGGAGTACCGAAGAAGATGCCGCGAACACTGAACATATCGAGCCCAGCCCCAGCCTCTTCGACTTCTCCCTGCGGCTCCTCGGGACGAGTGGTTTGATTCGAAACCAAGCCCCGGTAAATCTCATGCATAAGAGTGAAATGGGACGTGGGTCCATAATATAGCTGCACCTTGCATGACGGAGATGCCATGTGCGTTGCCGACACGCTGTTGTGGAAAGTATAGCAGGCAGATTTGTTTCGGCGGCCTAACGGCTGGGGCAGCGGTGAGGATGGCTGATGTGTATCAAGCTCAGAGCGCGCAGATTCATGGGAAGCCAGGCCCTCGCCTACGGTGCCATGCTTCCTTTTCTTGCGTTGTCGGATCACATCCCGGTAGACACATGGAGTGTTCCGCACCTGACAGGTCTTGCAGGGGTTGTCTCCATTACACTTGATTTTTCGCTTTCTGCATTCTTGACAGGCCTTGGGTATCCGCCAACCGGATGGTTCTCCTGATTGAGGGGTTTCCGCCATCCAGCAAAGAAACTGAGATAACCGGTCCCTAAGTGGCAAGTTGTTCTCATTGCTTTGTCCTTTGTCGCTTACGGGAGAAAATTTCGGATTTACGTCACGTGATTAGTCCGTATTTCCGGATTTGTCCGCCACGCTGTTTTGCTACGACATCAAGGCTGGGGTGCGAAGGCGTTGTGCGATGTCTCTTTCCCAGCTTGGTAACACCTGAAACGTAACGAGAGGGTTAATTATGTGTGGCGAGCGAGCGAGACCTCATCTATTGCTCTCACGGAGTATCCCACCAGGAATAGCCATGACTCCACGACTTTTCAATACTTCCTTGATGCATGGGCGATTTGCAAGCTATCCACAAGAGCAAAGAGCCATTGTACAGATGTATAGAGTAGAATATAGCCATTTATCAAACCGCTCATACAACTTCAGCCGAAGCAACTAGGCTGCGCCTGTACGGCAATGCCTTCTGGTTGACTCGCACAGTTGGACGCAGCGATCGGAGCTACTAGAAAATAGGAGAAATCTCTTTGAGATGAGCCGATACTGTGACGGAGAAGGAGGCCTAGTGTGATGAGGATTGACAGTACTCCGTTCTTCGGAGAGACTTGATTCAGCCAGGAGAGCCTGCGTCGGATGCGTGACTCGACACTCGGGTCAAGGATGTTCAGGAAAACGACACTCCGTAATTCGGAGAGACTTGATTCAACCAGCAGAGACTGCGTGTGATACCTGAGTCGAGTCCCGGGGTCAAGGACGATGAGGGGTTGCTTTGTTTCGTCCCAACCAGTAAATGCGCAATTGCCAAGGCATACCTCGCCCCTTGGTACGGATGAGGGGATGGGAGTTCTATTTGCCGCGAGGATGGGAAGAGCTCGGGTGCTATGGCAGCTTGGCAAGGATGAGCAACAGAAAAGGGTGAGACAGGATAGGATATGACTTTCATACCGATGCAGGACTGTGTATCTTCCGAGTAACATGAAAAGTTCACAGCAGCGCGCCTCTTGCATGTAAAATTGATAGTGACTTTGTTAAGTATGCGATGAGATATTGAGCAAGTTCCCCGGCCGAATGTTTGGAGATTCGAGGATGATATGCCTCATCAAACCGATGGATGTATTCTAACTGCCTGTGGCCTAGGAGAGATCAGTGCCATTACTCGAGTTTCCTTCTAAGCGGAAAGTGACGCTTTAGCTCTTCTTTTGATGCCTCTCTCGGGCTCTCACACAACTCAATGAGGGCAGTCGCCAATTAGGCGATTTATTCAAACATCAAACGACCTTTTCCCCACATCCCACGCCTAATGCTCCCCAACGTTTCACCGTCATTGGTCATCAACACGTCCGCAACTCAGTTCCGGGGTTGTGGGGAGAAACAGCGAGAGCTAGAGCGCGGGGAGGAAAATGAATGCTTGCCAAGTCACCGCTTCGGCCGGCTAAGCCTCTCAGTGTTTTTGACCAGCGTCCTCTCTTGTGCTCTCATAAGCATCAGTTTGGCACAATAGCCCGCCATCTGATTGCAGTTGCGGGAGTATGCAGGTGAGTGTATATCAATTGAGTTTTATGATAACATTTTGTGTTTTGTTTCCCGCACTCTGCATTTCTCGTCATATGTCAACTTACGGAGGTTTTCCAGGTAAGTTTGCATTCCTCGCCATCGAAGGCAAGTGGCTTGTGCAACTCATAGCTTCAAACCCACAGCACTGCCGCATAAACTTGCCTTAGCTGATACATACACATTTTCGGGTCTTGGCACTTGCCAAGGCTGTATTTAAGTTCTCGTGAAGAGAGGGACAGTCTCGTGGTCGGACCCGGATTGGACACCAGCTGAGGGCCAAGAAGCATCGCTAAAACGTTAATATGACCTGGACCATTGGATTGGTCGCTGGTTTCTTGGGGCGAAGCTCCTACGCGGCTCATTCGCCAATCTGCTGTCTACCAGTAGCACCAACGATGGTCAGCATGTCAGACAGTCAGTGCGTAGTTGTCAAAATGTGGTTGTGCCAAGCGACTAGCTGGAATTATGCATCATGAATCACCAAAAAAGCAAGGGGACGGCAGACATGGACTTTTCGTGGTTTTTCCTCCGGTCAGCACCTCGGAATTTGAGCTTTGTCAGCTTTTCCCTCCCTGTTATCTGCCGTGTGACTACCGCTAAGCTATACCGTCTCTTCAACCTCGGTGCCAGTGACTCGCTTTGATCACCAGCTCTACCCCACGATACCGATCCACCCCCGGATTCGAGATTCTGTCCCCACGCGCTTCCGACAGTCACTCCCGTCCTGACGTTTCGGCAGATCAGAGTCGAGACTCGTATCCGACGTGAGATCAAGCTATAAATTACCGCTGCTGCATGATTCCTGGAGAGCTCATTGTCGCAGTGATCAGCATCCTCATCGACCTTTGACAGGTTCCAACGCCTTTTATCTCGTTGTTCCCAAATCCGGGAACGATAATCTTTCGCAAGTCATGGCGGAGGAAAAGGGCACGTCTGAACTCAAAACAACTCTGGCTCATGAGTCAGCTCATGAGGCCGCCAGCCGTGGTCAGGTTGCAACGGACCAATACGGTCGAGCTTTGGTCGAATTCGACCCTGCGGCGGAATCTCGCCTTCGACTGAAGATTGATCTGTACATCGTTCCTACTGTCTCACTTCTTTATCTGTTTTGCTTCATTGACCGAGCAAATGTCGGTATGTTATTCCCACCACCTCTTATCGTACTCTGTCTGACTGACGATCCCGTCTCAGGTAATGCCAAGCTCGCCGGGCTGGAGAAAGACCTTGGCATGAAGGGTTACGACTACAATTCCCTCTTATCCATCTTCTACATCAGCTACATTATCTTCGAAATTCCTTGCAATATTGCCTGCAAGTGGATTGGCCCGGGCTGGTTCCTCCCCGCCATCACGCTGGGCTTTGGCATCTGCTCGCTTGGCACGGCATTTGTCCACAATATCCACGCCGCGTCAGGAGTCAGATTCTTGCTTGGCGTCTTTGAAGCAGGTATGATGCCCGGAATCGCTTACTATCTGTCTCGGTGGTACCGTCGCAGTGAACTTGCCTTCCGCCTGTCGCTTTACATTGTCATGGCGCCGCTGGCCGGCGCGTTTGGTGGTCTGCTGGCTTCGGGCATCCTGTCACTGGATCATTTCGGTGGCCTGCACACGTGGCGCATGATTTTTGCTATCGAAGGCATCATTACCATCGGTCTAGCGTTGATCTCATTCTTTACTCTTACCGACCGGCCTGAGACTGCTCGCTGGCTGACGCAGGAAGAGAAGGACCTGGCGATCGCTCGAGTCAAGTCCGAGCGGGTCGGAACCACGGAGGTGCTGGACAAGATTGATAAAGCTAAAACGCTCCGGGGTATCTTCAGCCCCGTGACCCTCGCCACCTCTTTCATCTTCCTCCTCAACAATATCACGGTCCAAGGCCTAGCCTTCTTCGCTCCCACGATTGTCAGGACCATCTATCCACACAGCACCGTGGTGGCCCAGCAGCTGCACACTGTCCCCCCGTATGTCGTCGGAGCGTTCTTCACTGTGTTGTTCCCGTTCCTCAGCTGGCGATTTGACCGACGCATGATCTTCTTCGTGATTGGGCCCCCTCTGATGATGACGGGATACATCATGTTCCTCGCCAGCACTGACGCGATGGTCCGCTATGGCGCGACGTTTTTGATTGCTAGCGGAGCATTCGCTTTTGGTGCTCTGTGCAATGCGAATTCATCCAACAACGTGGTGTCCGATACTGCGCGGTCCTCGGCCATCGGAACCACGGTGATGATGGGTAACATTGGTGGCTTGATCTCGACATGGTCCTTTCTGCCCTTTGATGCCCCTAATTATCACATTGGCAACGGTCTCAACCTGGCGACCTCCTCCATGACGATGATTCTCGGAGCATTGCTCTGGGGTTGGATGCGGTGGGATAACAAGAGACGCGAGAAGGTAGACGTTGATCAGGCTCTGGCTGGCCTGTCGCTGAGGCAGATCCAGGATCTCGACTGGCGCAATCCTGCTTTCCGCTGGCGTGACTAATCGGTGGTCTGTGCTTCTATCTTGCCTCGTGACCTTTCTGCGCTCACGCGTATGTCAATTGAATAATGACTTGCTTGTTGTTTTGTTGTATTATGAGACCGCAATGGGTCATATAAGAATTATCAATACGACTGTTTATGTAAGATCTATTATATCCCTATAACCACAGTACTACTGCCAAATGTTCATTGGTTCCATTGCCATCCTGTCCATGTGGTGGGCGGGATAAACCAATCAGGGTCGGTGGTTTGTCATTCTCTGTCTATTGCATGAGACACTGTCCAGTGGAGACCGTCAACCCCAGACCCCAGCTTGTGCACAGGCACCATCCAGTAATAATCTCCACGACTCTCAATCGTATGGTTAATCTTCGGAGAACACCGAATTACCAACGGTCCAATCAGGCTAGGCACACGCGGAACCACACTTTCTTGCGAAGCGTCGGAGGAATCGCTGCTTGAAGTTCGATACGCTAGTCGCCGCCGTCATTGACGATCTTTGTCGCTTCGGACAAGGACCGAATAGGCCTTTCTCGCATGCCATTCTGCGTGGTAGAATAGTGAGTATGCACTAACTCCGTACCGCGGGGCTACTGCTGGTGGGAGAGCATGGTTTGAGTGCCGAGCAAACGCTTTCCTAGGTTGCCCGATGTGTTCTTGATGCTGTCAATAGTTCACCATATTCTTGTGCGACTGGCGAATTAAACATGTCTATTAGAACCTCCGAGAAACGGAACTTCGAGTCGGGTCCGAGTCTAAGGTGAATCTAGATTGAAAACGTCCCGATCTTGTGAGGCATTTCCCAGTGCCAAGCTGTCTCTCGGTTTCGGAACTTGACCGAGCCTTCATTATGCGGAGAGGAGGGCAACAAACACGCACATGGACTTCATGAACTTGTTCATTGAATTGTTTTTTGAAGTGACTGAGAAAGGCGAATAAACTTGATGAATGTGTGAGTTATTGAGTACATTTCGTCTCTTGAGTAGCACTCACAACATACAAGGCAGAGTATAGACTTCATGCGGAGAGCGGGAGCAAGGCTTTTGGCGTAGTCAAGAGCTCCCAAGCTCTCAACTCCAGACTCTTGAGTAAACCTTAGGTGGGCCAGAGAAGAGATACAACCCACGCCTTCTTGGCACCCCATTTAGGGCCAGTCGGTCACCCTCCGTTTCACGACCAAGGAATCCAAATTGCCACTGACAGTGAGTCCCAGCCGCATGGACAAATGCGTCCATCTTCGCGATATCTTCGCGTTGGAAATGCGACTAACGTTAGTTTCCTGGTCCTGATCTCGGAGATTTCGACCCCACGCTTCTACTCCACGTTTTCTCCGCACTGTTCATGCAGGGTATAAAGCTGGGTAGTGATCGTCTGCTCATCCCTGTTTGTCCAACGCACTTCTCAACTCTTTTCTCCCCATCTCTCCTACTTGATATTCTGAGCACACAAAGGACGAGACGATGGCAGGCGGTCCAAAGAAACCCGTCAACATCTTCCGGTTGAAAAACCTCAGCGAGCCAAAAGAGGTCTTCAACTGGAGACTATGGTTCGCAGTTCTCTCATTCGGCCTCATGGGCGCTGCCCGGGGTGTCGATGAGGGTTTGATCTCGGGCGCTTTCAACTCGAAGGATTTCCAACGGACGATCCACTACAGCCAGTACAGTGCTGTCGAAAAGGCGAACATCAAGGCGAATGTGTCATCAATGGTGCAGATCGGCTCTGTCGGTGGTGCTCTCTTGTAAGTTCTAGCTTTTGTATTTAGTTGGCAGACTTTCTGACCCAAGCAGCGCCTTCCTCGTTTGTGACCGCATCGGTCGTATCTGGGCTACTCGTCAGCTGTGTGTTCTGTGGGTTCTTGGTATCGGTATATTCATGGGCGCAAACGGAAACCTTGGAGCCATCTACGCCGGTCGCTTCATTGCAGGATTGGGTGTCGGACAAACGGTCGTGGTTGGCCCGGTCTATCTCGCTGAGATTGTGAGTATACATTCGCGTACAGTCTTGACGCAAAGCTGACAGTCATGGCTAGGCCCCGGCGTCCATTCGAGGTCTCTGCACCTGTGTGTTTACTGGTTTCGTGTATCTCGGTATCGTCCTGGCCTACTTCACCAACTACGGCTGCCAGGTTAACCTCGGAGATAACACGCACAAGCGATGGGTGAGTGAGCCGGCAACCGCTTGAGGTTCAATCGCAGCTGACAACCCCGTAGGAAGTGCCAACCAGTCTGCACATCATCTTCGCCGGCCTGATCTTCTGCCTCTCCTTCCTGCAATACGAGTCTCCTCGCTTCCTGATCAAAAAGGGCAAACACGAACAAGCGATCCGCAACCTGGCGCGCGTGCGACACCTCCCTGAAGACCACGAGTACGTTGTGCAGGAGATCACCGCCATCGAGCTGTCCCACCAGGCCGAACTCGAGGCGACCATGGGCGCGGGCTGGCTCGGCGTCATCAAGGAGACCTTTTGCGTCCCGAAGAACCTGTACCGCATCTACCTGACTGCCATGGCGCAGGTCCTCTCGCAGTGGTCCGGAGCCGGCTCCATCACCCTCTACGCCCCAGATCTCTTCAAGCTGCTCGGCATCACGGGCTCCAACGAGACCCTCCTCGTGACCGGTGTCTTCGGTATCGTCAAGCTCGTCGCAGCCATCGGGTGCGCCCTGTTCCTGGTCGACGTGATCGGCCGCAAGCGCGCGCTGCTCATCGGTATCACCCTGCAGGCCATCGCCATGATCTACGTCGCCTCCTTCCTCACCGACGTCCCGGAGATGGGCATCGTCCACGACTTCGTCCTGCCGAAGGCGAAGCAGGGCGTCAGCCGCGGCGCCATCGCCATGATTTACATCTCCGGCTTCGGCTGGGCCCTGGGCTGGAACTCGATGCAGTACCTGCTCACCGCCGAGCTCTTCCCGCTGCGCATCCGTGCCCTGGCGACCTCCATCGCCATGACGCTGCACTTTGTCAACCAGTACGGCAACTCGCGCGCCGTCCCGAACATGCTGCTGCCCACCGACCAGGGCGGCATCACCCCCAAGGGCACATTCTGGTGTTTCGCGGCGGTGACCATCCTCGGTGGGCTGTGGGTGTTTTTCAGTGTGCCGGAGACGGCGGGCCGGTCGCTCGAGAGCATGGATAGCCTGTTCGAGCTGCCGTGGTACAAGATCGGTTTGTACGGAAACAAGGACGCCGAGGAGCGGGATCAGGTGGTGTCCGAGAAGATGCAGATGGCCGAGGAGATGCACGGGACCGCGATGCACCAGGAGACGGTGGAGAAGTCGAGGGTGTAGGCAGCTGCGGTCAAACATATTTGAGCCATGATGTGGAACGCATGTTAATGAATTTATTCTTTGCATTAATTCACGAATTTGACGCTGAACCTGAAGGATCTGTATCTACTGGTATAATCACAATCCGCGCCTTTCGCGACGCATCCTCTCTAACAGCCTGCTCGTCTCTCCTTGACAAGCCGTATCTCGACGTCGGGACCACCTCCATCCCATGCATCTCGTCCAGCTCCTCCCACGGGAGATCAACCCGCACCATGATCCCCCGTGGCCGGAAAAAGGTGTCGTTCCACCGCTCAACCTTCCTCGACAGCCTTGAACCCTCCTCGAACCCCGAATCCGTATCCGCTGGCCTCTCCGAAGCAGCAACAATCAGATTCATCTCCTCGCGGTTCCGCCTCGCTTTGCGCGCCACCAGCACAGCGGGAATCGCACCAAGCACGCCGGCCATCATCCCGCCCAGCGCGAAGACGCCTACGCCCTTGGCGACTGTCGTGGCCCATTGTCGCGGGGAGAGTTTCACCTCCTCGTTGAGGTCGTGGGTGAATTGGGTCCAGTAGTGAGGGGAGATGTCGTAGTTGGCTAGGAAGGGAGGATACGCGAAGCCGGAGGTGAAGTAGTCGTGTTTCGAGGGGATTTGGATCCCGCGGTTTGGAAATAGGGTGGAACTTGTGTGTTCTGATGGTGAGGAGGAGGGTGGGAGAGGTTGTTTGGTGTCTGGTTCTTGTTCTTGTCCTGGTTCTGGCATAGTGGGAGATGCCTCTGAGGGTGTATATGGGGGTGGAGGATCCGATATAGATGGATTGTTGTTATCGCTGAGGAAATTCATGTTCGTATTCATGTTCACCCTGGTGATGCCAGAGATTCGTGGGTTTGATTCTGTTGAATAGGCATTTCCGTGTACGACTTGGGCGGTTTATATTGCCCTGACCAATTGACTGGATGAATCACTCCAGGCGTCAACATCGTCATCGTCCCTGGAATAATATGCGAGTATGACTCGACACGAGATCGATGACTGCCTTGGAATTATTGACGGTGATAGGCTGGGATATGCCTCAGGCTCCCATGTTTTGCGTAAATACGAGGTGTCGATCCCAAAGGCCGATGAGGCTACGAGTTACGAGTACTCCAATTTGCTCACAAATGTTGTGCTTTTGCAGGTTTTTTCTACTCCAGATTTCCTCGTCATATAATCCCTGCTGGGTCCGTCTAAGCCACTTTGAATTGCTCACAGAGCGAGGCTTATTCGCGATAAGATCGACTCTCGAGCCAATAAAGTCATGGCGCAGAATGAGTCACTCTGATGCTGGGTCTAGACGGAAGTTTTGATACCAATAAGCACTCAAAATAATCAAGACTAGCCCAACAAGTCAATCGTTGATCGGAGTCCGCCGAAACCTCACCGGCCTGTGTCTCACCCCTGTCTTGGCACGATTTCTCCAACTCATCGCGCGGGGAACCATCCCGCACTCCTCATCCTCCTCACTCTCCTACCCCTGGCCAACAACACCCCTGCACGATGACCACTCGGTATCGCGTTGAATGTAGGTCCTCTTTGAATATAATTCACTAGACTGCTAATCCTAACCAACTGATAGATGCTCTCAAGGTATGCTGTCAGCCATTGAGGTTGTGCTTGGCTGACTCACTCCGATAGTCGCATCGGCGAGACCAGCTGGTAAGTTCTCCCTCTTTCAACGTGCCTTCAACGCGCAAACTAACAGATCTCAGATTGAATGGATCAAAGTGAGTGCACCACTTCATCATCACCGGAGGAAGCTCATCCAGTAGGGTCTCTTGGCGGTCCCCTTTGTGCTGCACTCGCAGCCCACCGCTGTCTACCAGGAACACAGCGAGAACCTTGTGGCCGTAGCGGCCGACACCCATCAACGCTACGCGGAGATCTTCCGGGACGTCGAGAAGCTCATCGACGACCACAGTAAGCCTCATGCCCCTCTCCTCAGTCGCATCTAACCCCAGCCAGTCGACCATGAACGCAACGCCGCCCCCGGCAAGTCCAAACTGAAACTGCTCGTCCCGACCGCTGGCTCCTTCTTCAGCCGGCTGCCGATCGAAGACGCCTTCAAATACCAAGACACAAAGCGCATGATCAGCCGCCGCCGCTTCGTCGCCCCCTCCTTCAACGACATCCGTCTCATCCTCAACACCGCCCAGCTCCTCGGCCTCGTCCGAGGGCCCGGCCTCGACCTCGTCACCTTTGACGGAGACGTCACGCTCTACGATGACGGCGCCTGCCTCACCCCGGACAACCCCGCCATCCCGCGCATCATCCGCCTCCTGCACCAGGGGGTGCGCATCGGCATCGTCACCGCGGCAGGCTACACCGAGGGCGCAAAGTACTACGAGCGCCTCAAGGGCCTGCTCGACGCCGTCCACGACTCCCCCTCGCTCACCCCCGCCCAGAAAGACGGCCTGGTCGTCATGGGCGGCGAGAGCAACTTCCTCTTCCGCTTCGACTCCGCCTCCCCGCACCGCCTCACCTACGTGCCCCGCCCCGAGTGGCTCCTCGACGAAATGAAGGCCTGGAAGCAGGAGGATATCACCGAGCTGCTCGACATCGCCGAATCCTCGCTGCGCGCTTGCGCCTCCAACCTCAACCTCCCCGTCGCCGTCCTCCGCAAGGACCGCGCCGTCGGCGTGTATCCCTATGACCGGAGCAAGATCCACCGCGAGCAGCTCGAGGAGACCGTCCTCGTCGTGCAGAATACGGTTGAGCGGTCTGTTGTCGGCACCAGATTGCCCTTTTGCGCGTTTAACGGTGCTTCCCCCTTCTCGGCCCTTGTCTCCTTTTCCCACGTGCCGTGTAGCTAATGCTGATGACAGGCGGAAATGATGTCTTCGTCGACATCGGCGACAAGTCCTGGGGTGTGCGCGCTTGTCAGCGGTATTTCGGCGGAATTGAGCGGTCGCACACGCTCCACGTTGGCGATCAGTTTCTGTCGGCTGGTGCGAATGATTTCAAGGTGAGTCTCGTCTTCTGAATTTTTAGAGCCAAGCGTGAAATTGACGTCGTGATCATGTAGGCTCGATTGGCGTCTACGACTGCCTGGATTGCCAGTCCTTCGGAAACGGTGCAGTTGCTTGACGAACTGGAGGAGTTGCAGAAGGCGGAGAAGAATCGTTCCTGATTGATTTTTTTCAATTACGGGTTTATATTTCGGTTTACCGGATCATGGCGTATGATACCATCATTCATTGATTATGAAATCCTAGATTCAAATATATTTGCCCAGACTACCTAGCCATCATGTATTCTCAACTCCAGATGCAAAATCATAATCTACCCCAATGTCCAGAGTCCAAAGTCCAGGGCATCAGCTATGTTCCGAAATATCATTCAAGGGTCGCCGTCAGCTTCCCGTCTCATCAATCGTATCCCCAGCATTGCACAGTCGCTCTAAGGTGAAGTGGGCGCTGAAGGGTCAATGGCTGTAGACAGTCAGTATATGATGCAAATCCAATCGTAGTCAAAGCTTACTCTCATAGCATGACCACATAGGCTTTCCCGCAGCAGCGCGGCCAGACAGGATGTTGACATAGTTCTGAAGCTCCAGCCAGAACTCGGTCTTGGGACGCCGGCGTGCCCAATCCGTCTCCGTCGCCTCCAGACCGTCCTTGCCGCCCATGGGGGAGAACAACACCTGCGAGCCCTTCACACCGATGACCGCCGCCGACAGCGGGTCCGCCGCAATCTCGTCGCGTGACTTGCCTGCGTAGTTTTCGATATGTAGCATACACTTGATCGCCATCCGAAGGGCCCGGATACGGTCCATCGGCGATGGCTTGCCTCCTTGCTGGAAGTGGCCAGGGACCGCCGAGCGGGACTCGAACCGTCCCTTGGCCTCCTCCTTGAAGATGTCGGCGATGACCTGGGTGGTATAAGTGCTGGAGGCGCATTCGTTGCGCAGAATGAGCTTTCCGGCACGGTTGGCTCCCTTGTCCCGGGCAAAGTTCTCGCGCAGGAAATCAATGTCGTTGGAAAGCATTTTGATGTCAATGCCCTCCTCGGGAATGTACACGGCTGTAGCGCCGACGGCAAGGCCAGCGGTGGTGGCGATGTAGCCCGACTTACCACCCTGTGTCTCAATGACGAAGACACGGCGACGAGAGGACGAAGCCGACTGGCGGATGGCGTCGCAGAAATCAATCAAAGTGTTGAGACAGGTGTCGCTTCCCAGCGAGTACTCGGTTCCAGGCACGTTGTTCGAAATCGTGGCAGGCAAAACAACCATGGGGATCCTGAAAACGGGATACTTCTCGCGGGCCTGACGGAGCTGGCTGACGGCTGTGAAGGCTTCGAAACCACCCACCACGAACAGTGCGTCAAACTTGTATTTCTCGAAGCACATTGCCGTGGTCTCAAAATCCTCGGATGGCAGGCTACGGTTTGTTCCAATATCCGATCCACCCTCGTTGACCCAGGCGTCGGCCTCCAGCCACTTGACTTCGCGAACAGAGCTGACGGGCTTGTCATCATGGTGACGGCAAAGGCCGGGGAAACCGTTGTGAATCGCGAGGGGGGTATGTCCACGAGTGAGGCAGTAACCGACAGCGGCGCGGGTGGCTTGATTCATACCTCCGGCCGGGGCACCGACGTGGATGATGGCAATTCTCATCCTCTAATTTGAGTTAGCCAACTCGGCTGATTGAGAGATAGTAACGCACCTTGTCTTCAGGGAGGATCATTTTGGGATGATCCGGTGTGGCAGTGTTGCGATAGGCAAAGTGGTATTCTTTGAATTCGGCATCCCGCATTCTCATCGCTGCCTCGAAGTCCTTGTCATGGATGAGCTTCGCAACATGCTGGGTTTCTTGCACTGCGTCCATCAGTGGTGTCCGCATGATCTTGTTCTCGCGAATGGTAATGACTGGCGATGGCGAGTCCGGCTTCATATCCAGAACAGCCCTGACGGCTTCGACACCCTGCAAGGTGGACAGCCAGCGGTCATACGCGCATGCTGCTCCTCCTCTCTGAGTGT